TGTGGCTTCCACCTCTGCAAGTTGTAAATCAAATATTGCACCTGGAACTGGGGGAAAAAAATGAATAAATGGGAGAATTTAAAACTACATTTTGAAATGAAAACATTTCCTAAATTTTTTAGCTCATGATTTAAGATTTGTAAACAATTCTATTAGAAAATATACCAAAACAATTTACTAATTTATTAGAAATTAGATATGGTGTAAGATTCTTTAAATTCATGGATATTTAAAATTGAATTTCTACACACTGTTCTCAAAATGTACATAAGGAATAGAACATGGAATAATTTTCCAAAATCAAAATATCATAACATTTGCCCAGAACAAATTACCGAATCAAAATAATCTCCCTGAGAAACTGCCTATTTTTAGATGATTAATTCCCAGCCGCAACCTTGAAGCCTTCATGAAAATAACAACATACCAAAAAATAATATCCTGAAGACTTTGAAAGCAATGAAATGTGGTTGGTAAATTTAATTAGGCCATCTTTTATTACACGAAATTGTATGAATGAAGAGTTGATTGATTTTTGTCTGCTGACTTTTCAAATTAATCATGTGAGTCTTAAATTTCAGGTGCCTTCACTCTTTGCCATAGTAAAGAAAAACAGGGATAAAACAAACCACCGAGTACCTAAAGCAAATTCTAGTTGGAAAGTCATCAGCAGCGACATCTAGGGAACCTCCCAGTGCCACAAGAGTAATGGACCAAGGATAAACATGCCCTGAGATTTTGACTATTTTGTTTGCAGGTCATTGTATGATGATGAATAGTCCATTCACCCCTCCAACCCTGACTTTTGTCATCTATAAAAGGAACGTAATTATACTTTTCCTATTACTACACAAGGTTACTATAAGGAATAAATAGTTCAAGAGAATTTTTTAAATGTAGGTTCAAGAAAGAGAAAATGTGACAAAAAATATTGTCCTTATGATCAGGATGTAATAACACATTAAATTCATGACCCTAAGCTGAGGTATTTAGCAGTGGTATAGGTTTAGGAAATTCCAGTTAAAAGAGAGATACATTGCCTTAAAGGAGAATGAAGGAGAATGACCCCTTCTCTTTTAAGACAACAGAAAGAAATTTAAAAATATCACAATTCCCATAAATATTATTTCTCATTAGTGAAAATACTTATGCTTTAAGTTAACCATGTAGTAAAGTGTAACTGTATAGAGTTTTCATCCAGTAGATTGAGTTCTTTGTCCCCATGAACAAGTAAAGAAACCCTCTAGATAATACAATAATATAAGTATTTCTTTTTTTTTTTTTTCTTTTTGTCTTTTTTCGTGTCCAGCAACGGATCGCAACCCTCA